CATCGATGTACTGGATGCTGTTTGGAAGATCATTGAAATTCCCTTGCATGTCCATTTATTTTATATTTTGGCTAATTTGATTACGTTTTCAGCTCTGTTTGACCACATGCAAATTCATTCAGCAGAATTATGTTGATTTTCTCTCACATTTAGTGCTGCAAAGTGAATTAATAGACTCTGTGTGTGGCTGCTGATGAGCAATTCCATTGATTTGTTCTTCCAGACAGAACCGTGTGTCATCACCATAATTTTGCATCAGACCAGCACCGCAGGAGAACTAAATCTGTCCTGGAGAGACCTATGTCAGTTAATGTCAGTATATAGTAAAATGTAATTTATTCCTGTGATCAAAGCTGAATTTTCAGCATCATTACTCCAGTCTTCAGTGTCACGTGATCCTTCAGAAATCATTCTAATATGCTGATTTGCTGCTCAAGAAACATTTCTGATTATTATCAATGTTGCAAACAGTTGTGCTGCTTCATAGTGATTTTTTCAAGATTTTTTGATGAATAGAAAGTTCAAAAGAACAGCATTTATTTGAAATTGAAATATTATATAACATTATAAATGTCTCTACTGTCACTTTCGATCAGTTTATACATTTGTCCTTGCTTAATAAAAGTATTAATTTCTTTCAAAGGGAAAAAAAATTAAATGACTCCAGTCATATCTGTGGCCTAGTAAAAACAGTTTCATTCTAGCTGGTAATGAACCACCTCATGGGTGCCGACATCACATGACCAGCTGAAAAATACTTACTCTATCTCTATAACCCTTGTATTATCAGACGCTTTTGCTCACTGAATAAATGAATGAAGGCTGGAATTGAATAATGCATTTCTACAGTGGCATTGATAGCCAGAAACGACAACTCTCCATATCATATAACTGAGTGCAACTTTTACTGTTTAAATATTATAAGATGTATCAGTTTGTGATATTTATATAGCAGATTACCTGTAGAAGAGGAGCTAGAGTTGGATGAGCCACAGTTATGGTATAGTTAAATGGCTCAGATGATCAATACAGTATCTGGGAGCTTTCGAGGCCTTCAGCAGGAAGTTGTTGTGTTTCATAGTTTTATCTCCCTCTTTTTGGGAGGCTGATAGGAAACCGAATAGACAAACATGGGCAGTCTTATCAACACGGATGCTGGAAGCTTCTTACTGGAGGAAACGGAGCAGACGTGGAGTTGTTGAAGGATTATCAAACAGATGCTTTCCAGGCTGCGCTATTAAAAACATGCCGTCATCCGTGATAGAAACAGCTCTTTCGTAAAAACTATACTATATGTATACGTGTAGCATGTGTTTTGTATATTAAAGCATTCACATTTTCCGCTTGCATTAAATAGCCAGATGATGCACTGCATTTGCTAAAATGTGCATTATAGACATTGGGGCACATATATAGTGTATCCGACAGTCTGTGTTATTTCATAATTATATATATACTATTATAATATGTAATAATATTTTGAATTAGCTTTTGTTTTTATATTTTCAGTTTTCATTTGAATTTAAAGTTTAATCATTTTGTTATGTGCTTTTGTATTTTTTTTTTTAGTTTAAAGTTAAGTCATTTTGTGCTTTTGTCATTTTTAGTAGTTTTTGTTTTATATATAATATATAGAATCATTTTGTTATGTGCTTTTGTATTTTTTTTTTTAGTTTAAAGTTATCATTTTGTGCTTTTGTCATTTTTAGTAGTTTTTGTTTTATATATAATATATACAGTACCCATAGAAAATCATTATAACCTTTTGAAAGATTGACTTTATTTGTTGTGCAGCCTGAGATCAAAACCCATTCCAAAATTTTTTTTATAAATATAGATACAGAGAAAAAATTGGCAGCTAGGTTGGAGTACTAAAATTACTAAAACTGAAATAAAATAAAGCTAAATATAAATGTAAAAAACCCTACTAACTACTACTAAACAAACACAATTTCATACAATGCAATACATGAAAACTGAAAATATAAAAATTAAAGCTAATTAGAAAATAAAGCTAAATAGAAATATGAAAAACAAAACTAATAAAAATGACAAAAAAGCACAACAAAATTACTAAACTTTTAACTGAAATTTAAATGAATAAAAATGCTAATAAATAATAATAAAAAGCTGATAAAAAACAAACAAAAAACACTAAAAATGACTGAACTGAAAAACTCCTGATTTAATTCTTCCTAGAGCCATCTTTTGCCTTAGCCAGCTGAAGATGGACAGGTCATTCACCTTCCAACACGACAATGATCCTGAATATACCACCAAAAGAACAACGTAACAGCTTCAGGATACGAAGGTGAACGTCCTTGATTGGCCCTGACTAAAATCCCATAGAAAATCTGTGGATGGACTTGAAGAGAGCAGTCCATTGCCGCTCACCACAGACTCTGACTGAACTTGAGCAAGTCTGCAAGGAAGAATGGGCGAATATTCTCCCATCTAGGTGTGCAAAGCTAGTACAGACATGTCCAAAAAGATTACTGGCTGTAATTAAGGCAAAAGGTGGCTCTACAAAGTATTAAATCAGGAGACTGATGACTTTTCCAATCCTGTTATTCCAATTTTTCTGTATTTTTATTCATTTTCAGAACTTGCCTTTTTCTTTCATTAGTTTGGTGTTGTAAGGCAAATTTGTAAATAAAGCTGGAAAAGTTTTTTTTTCGGATTGGGTTTTGATTTCAGGCTGTACGTACGACAAATAAACTCCTTTAAAGGGGTATGATGATTTTCTGTAGGCACTGTATTATTATATTTTAATATATTTTAAAATTTCCTTCGAATTTTAAGTAATTTTATGTACCTGTCATTTTTAGTGTTTTTTAAAAAAATTTTACTTTTTTTTAAATTATTATTAATTAGAATTTTTTTAAATTAAATTTTAGTTAAAAGTTTAGTAATTTTGTTGTGCTTTTTGTCATTTTTAGTATTTTTTTATTTTTCTATGTAGCTTTATTTTCTAATGAGCTTTTATTTTATATTTGTTTTTTATGTACCTGTCATTTTTAGTGTTTTTTTAAATTTTTTAAAAAATTTTTTAATTATTATTAATTAGAATTTTTTTTAATTAAATTTTAGTTAAAAGTTTAGTAATTTTGTTGTGCTTTTTGTCATTTTTAGTATTTTTTTATTTTTCTATGTAGCTTTATTTTCTAATGAGCTTTTATTTTATATTTGTTGAGGTTTCATTTGTATTTGAGTAATTTTATGACATTTTGTTTGTTTAGTAATAGTTACTAGTCTTTTTATTTCTATTTAGCTTTATTTTATTTCAGTTTGAGTTATTTTAGTACTCCAGCTTAGTTGCTGTTTTTATCTATATTTATATTTTATTTCAGCTTTCATTTTAGTTTTGGTTAACAAAAACAACACTGCCCACAATGCAGTGCAAAGTCAAAGAGGCTTTTGGATTGATTTAGTGTTTTTTTGTTCTTAATCCCAGTAATGCCGAAAACAGCTTTGACACTGTCATAAGTGGTGCTTTTCAATCCTCTCTGACTGTTATTAAATTATATTTGTACAGAGCTAAACATTTTAACAGATTATGCTGGTTTAGCGTACATTCTGACATGATTAGACTAGTTAGTTTAATGCACAATATGTTCTTTTTGATTATACAAACAAATGAACAGCAATCCACACGATTTGAGGTGCCATTCAAGGGCTTGTTCAAATCACTAACCCCAAGTATGATGCTTTACAAACACCTCTAATAATGTTTAAGGGAACTGACATTGATTATTCAACATTAGATAAACAGGTCACACGCATTACTGTAGGTTTAATTAGATTACAGCCGTCCACATAGGATCTAAAAGCTTTATTAATCAAACAATAACCTACAAGACCTCAAACCGGCTTCATTTGATTAAACGGTACTCAATGTGGGTGCCAATTACTCAAGTGTATTTGTTGTACCATTTGATTGACAGATGTGCCGACCAATCAGAATCCCAGAGCTTTGTATTGTCGTGGCTTTGATCTCTGTTCACTATAATCTTTGCTAATCCACATTGTCCGGACTGTGTTATGAGTAGTGATCGACCGATATTGGTTTTTTGACAGCCAATGCCGATATCTTGGAAAGCATGGTGGCCGATGGCCGATATAATTTAATTTATTTTAATTAATATAAAAAAAAATTGAAATCATTTGAAAATGGATTAAAAAAATAAATGTGTTAAATAAAAATACTTATACTTTAGAGTTTAGATGACAAAGTATTTTTCACAAATAAATAAATATTTAATAAAAATATAATTAAAAAGGAAGTAAACACTGTAAACAACAGGGCACACAGTATTTTGGGAAGTTTGTGTGCATTGGGAATCATATTTTTTCAAATAAAGCCAAGGTAACACTCATTTTACATACAGCACACAGTGAAAATGACATGAATATGGCAGTGGGCAAATGCATAAAGCGCAGCATAATTTGAATTCACGAGTTTAAAGTTTGTCGATCGCGCGGCTCCATAGCTGAACTCCTCCTGTCCACATTCAATTCACACGGACCGACCGTCACGCAGAGAACACGCGATCATGCAGGATACAAATGCACACTTAAAATAAAAGTCCGTCACGCCGTCAAAATAAAAGTCCCGCCTCGAACGCATCGGTTAAATAGGAAAACTTGGCGGCCGATGCCGATATTTGAAAAATGCCAAATATCGGTTGACCACTAGTTATGAGTGTGTGTGTGTTTGGCTCGTCTAACCCTCCCTGGTTTTGTTCTGCTGTCTTTCTTGCTCTGTTCAGTTGGATTTTGTTGCCAGTGTCTTATGTGTCATTATGTTTGTCATTTTTAACTAATGCTGCTTTTCTTTTTTCCCTGTTTGTCTTTTTTGTCTTTTTTTCATGCCATCTGTCTGTCTGCTGCCAACGTGTCCCAACGCACAAAATCCAACCAACACCAAAACCAACACTGCCTGGCGGACCCTCACTGTGTGTGTCTGTCTGTGACGTGTGTGTGTGTGTGTGTGTGTTCAGCATCATGCAGAGAGCAGAGAAAACCCTGTCACCCCAGGTAAGAGGCTGACATTCACCTGTGTGTGTGTGTGTGTGTGTGTGATCTTTGCTCCTGCATGTCAAAGTCAAAGGCACTATGTTCAGAAATGGGATACTTAACATTATATTCTATATACAGCTGTTTTAATAGTATGTGGAACAGAATCCAACAATAAATGTTTCATTCTGTTCAAACTGAATTGTTTGTTATAGTCACTTGAACTTGCTACAATACATATTTTACAATACATATTTTAATTCAGCGATTTGTGTCCAGTTATCATCTTGGAAATAAATTGTAAATAATCAAATAAAATAAAAAAATAAATAAAATAATACAAAGTAAAATTAAATAATTGCCAGCATGACTGGAAATAAAACATAATTTTTTAAAAGTAAATTTATATATTTATATTTATAAAGGTGTATATATAATTTATTATGCATATAAATTTCGTCAATGTACATTTTTATAATGTTTATGGCAGAATGATTGGAAATAAAAGATTATATTTTTGGAAATACATTTATATATAATTTATTTTACATAATTTTGTCAATATACATTTTTATAATGTTTATATGTGGCAGCAAGATTGGTTATCAAACAAAATGTTTGGGGGAAAAAAATGATATGAAATGTATACATTTATATGTAATTTATTATACATAATTATAATGTAAAAATCAATCATTATACATTTTATCACATTATATGTTTGTTATATATACATACACACACACACACACACACACATATACTGTATGTATATATATATATATATATATATATATATATATATATACATATATACAATGGGTATAGAAACACAATTTGAGATTTCTAACGTGGCTGTTTGGTTAATTGGCTCATTAGTAATTAGTTTCTTCACAGCCTAAGTGATGAGGATGAAATATTCATATTGCATCTCAAACGAGCATCTCTAATGAATGATTAGCATAAAGTGATTAAAATCTGTCGCTTCAGCTTCTCCTTTATTTGCTTTTGCATCACAATAAGCAGCCAACCTGTGTGTGTGTTTACATGCTGTTATACACGTATAGCAATACAAGCTCACACAGACACATGCATATATTCACTAGAAGCGTGTTATTTCACCCAACACGTTTTATGCTGCATCATTGTGCAGAGTTTCTCATGCATTTAATTTTCTCAGCTACAGACATGCACGCACACAATCAAAAGTGATGTATGTAATACTGTTGCAGTGCTGTAAGGTTGTGTGTGATGCTGATGAGATTAGATTTGAAGTAGTCATGTTAAACACTCACTTTAATCTGTTTTTAAAAACAGCACCGTCAGATGGAGAAAATAAATAGTAGTATTACAGATTTAAGTGTTATGTAGTATTACAGTTTTTACTCAATACCATGTGATGATTTTATCTGTTTTTATTTTGTGTGTTGGCCACTAGAGGGAGCACTTTACAACAATATGTGCATCAATTAAAGTTTGGTGGATGCTCTTCAGCGAAAAGGTCTTTATGGTGTATCTGACTCCAATCCATTTAGTTTTTTTATCTTCTGAAATCAATAGAAAAAATTTACAAACCCAATCCAAACCACATCCATATGTGGTTTTAAATCTAAGGTAAGATACCCTAGATTAATAGGCTAAAAAATGTAAGCAAAATATGACCATACTTTGCCAGTTGATTGACTATATTGATAGATTATATAAGAATTGCAAACATTTTTTTTGCATTACAAGTTTTCTGAAATGATGCATTATCTAATTAAACATTTACTAAATGCATAAAATTCCAGAAAATAAATCTGTATGGATAAAGTCAGGTTCAAAATTCTTGTTTCATTTTATCGACATTTTAGAGTTTAGTTTTTTTTACAGAAGGGATTTTTGATGCCTTTTTATGTTAAGTTTGGTGTATGTAAGTGCTGCTGAAGTGGAGATAAAAACTCATTTTGAGAAACGGCCTTTAAAGATATGTATCGTAATTGAAATATACAGATGCAAATAGATAAAGTGCAATACAATAAACATTGGGTTTTTCTTATCACTAGTCTGAAAAGCACGTTATGAAAAGCCAAACAGATAAATATCTCAAAATTGACCAGCGCATGAGAAATTTGAATCAATCAGATTCAGTCTTTGTTATTTTTCCACAGCTGCCTTAATGCCTGGTGATGATGCTGCGCTTCTGACCCCAGGAAGGATGAGCCAGCGTGGCAAGGAGGCGGGGCTGCACACGCCCAGTAAAGACCTGCTCACAAGCCCCTCCCTCAGCCCCGGCGTCAGCTACAGCCACGGTAAGAGAACCGCAGCGCAACATGCGTGCAGGAGTTTCTCCCACAAGCCTCTGTGGCCTCAAGGATCCCAGATTAGGATGTAAGGCCCTAATCTGCATGAAGGAAATCTGATCCCAGACCAGTGCAGTTTACATCAGGTACATTAGCAGAAATGTGGTCTGAGCGGTGGAAAATGTTATTAGATTGAGCTGAAAGGTTTTGAAAACAACACTTCTGTCTTTAAAAAATAAATCAGGAGCAATGTGATCAGAAGCTTTTATTAAGTAAGTAAAGAGGATTGATTTTGATTTCAGTGTTGACACAGTGACCAGTTTTTCCCCGTGTAGTGTTGGTTTTCACCACTAGAGGCCGCTGAAGTGTCATGAAAGCAGACCAGAGCAGAGTTTGTCCAAGAATCTCTTGCATTGTTTTGCTTGTAGTTAACATGAATCCGACTGTCCTGGGTTCCCACAAACATGGAAGACTTTGAAGGAATTTTAAAATTGCGATTTGGAAATGTCACACAAATATTCTATAGTGAATAATTTTTCTTTGACTTATTTTATTATTATTTTATTTGAATAATTCTTTGAATTTATTTATTTGATTATGTTAATCTGTTGATTAGAGTGATTGAGAGCTGGCATACAAATAGAAACTGATCCAAGCAATCTCTGTAATGAAGCATGAGCTACTATATTTATTGGAATATTATTTAGATTATTATTTGTTGTTGTGCTACTTA